CTCCATCATCCATCCATCATTCATCCATCCACCATCCCTCTATCCATCCATCCATCCATCCATCCATCCATCATCCACCCATCCATCTATCATGAAATGAAACAAACTCTTGATGTTAAAGTGAATCAGTGTTGAAGAGCATCAAGACTGCAATCATTAATTATTATTACCTATCCACCAGTGCTAGAATTAGCAGCACTCAGGGCAAGGTGAGCGCATCTGTAGAGGGCAAAAGTAGCATAGTTGAGAACAAGATGCTTCAGGTTTGTCCTTGCGGCTGGCAGAAAGTAACATCAGTGAAAGGCCTCAGAACTCATCAGGGAAAGAAGAAGTGTGTGGCAAAGAAAGGGCAGAGTAGCCGCATTGATCAGTACTTCCTAAGAAGTCAGTCGAGTCAGTCGGATGAAGTCCAGCGGCAGGTAGAAAACCACAGTTCGCAGGATATCAGTAACGCTGCCACTGAGGAGGAGGGGGTAGTAAGAGAGGATGCAGGTGACACTGAGGCCAGTATGCTAGCCAGAGAAAGAACTATGGAGCAAAAGGTTAGAGTTAGATGGCCTAGAGCAAATGACAGTAAAGAATGGGAGATAGTTAATAGAGACTTGTCAGTAATCTTGAGTAGGCTTAGAGGAAATGCAATACAAAGGTTAGAAAAGATGGGAGATATAATGTATTCATATGGTGTAGAGAGGTTTGGGGTGCATGAGAGAAAGAGGAGTGAGAGGGTACAGTCAGGTAAGTCTAGGCGGCAGAGAGAAATAGAGAAGTTAGTCAAGGAAAGGAGACAGTTAAGAAAGCAGTGGAAAAAGGCTACAGAAGAAGAAAGGGAGGGAATTAAGGTGTTGCAAGAGGAGTTGAGAAGCAGGCTAGCAGTTCTTAGAAGGGCGGAGCATCTCAGGAAAAAGAGGAGGAAGAAGGAATATGCTAGGACAGGTTTTTTCAGGGACCCTTTTAAGTTTGTTAAAGGATTGTTCAGCCAGGAAAAGGGAGGGCAGCTTAAAGCAGAAAGGTTAGAGGTTGAAGAATATTTGAGAAACACGTATTCAGATTTGGAGAAGAATAGGATAGTAGGTTTCCCACCTGATATCCCTCCATTAGGAGGGATAGAGCATGAGATGGATGTCAGGCCACCTAGGTGGAAGGAAGTTCAGGAGGTGGTCAGGCGTGCAAAGGCTTCTTCGGCCCCAGGGCCTAATGGAGTCCCCTACCGGGTTTATAAAAGTGCGCCTGATACCCTTAAATTTTTGTGGAAACAGCTAAGAATAGTTTGGGAAAAACAAATTATACCAAGAGCATGGCGTAGGGCAGGGGGTGTCCTCATTCCTAAGGAGAAGGAGTCTGTGGACCTTAGCCAGTTCCGGATGATTTCTCTCTTGAATGTGGAGGGGAAGATTTTCTTTAGTGTAGTAGCGCAGAGACTAGCTAGCTACTTAGAAAGGAATAGCTTAATAGATACCATGGTGCAGAAGGCAGGAATACCAGGTTTTTCAGGGTGTTTAGAGCATACTAGCATGATCTGGCACCAGATTCAGGCAGCGAAGATTAACAAAAGGGACCTACATGTAATATTTTTAGATCTTGCAAATGCGTTTGGTTCAGTACCGCACAGCCTCATTTGGAGTGCGTTTGACTACTTCAGAGTGCCACAGGTAGTTGTTAACTTAGTGAAAGCATATTTTCAGGATATTAGGTTGTGTCTAAGTACAGCAGGTTTCACAACAGGTTGGCAGAGGCTAGAAATAGGCATCATGGCAGGGTGTACAATTTCTCCATTAGCATTTACTATGGCAATGGAAGTAATCATCAGGGCTTCTAAGTGGGTGGTAGGTGGGGAGAGACGGCAGAATGGGTTGCATCTTCCACCAGTTAGGGCTTACATGGATGACATGACACTGGTGACCACAACAATGCCATGTACAAAGAGGCTACTAGAGAAGGTAAATAAGAACCTCAAGTGGGCCAGCATGAAAATCAAGCCTAGTAAATCTAGAAGCATCTCGATATGTAGAGGGAAGTTAAGTGATAGGAAGTTTGTCATAGATGATGAGGACATCCCAACAATTAGGGAAAAGTCAGTAAAGAGCTTAGGTAGGTGGTACAATGTAGAGTTGAATGATAAGGAACAGGTGGTGAAATTTAGAAAAGATGTGGCTGAAGGATTGGATAGAATAGATAAATCAGAACTTCCAGGAAAGTTGAAGTTGTGGTGTTTGCAATTTGGGCTATATCCTAGGTTAATGTGGCCATTGTCAGTTTATGAAATTCCAATATCTGTTGTGGAGAGAATGGAAAGGTCGGTTAGCTCCTACATTAGGAAGTGGTTGGGCGCTCCTAGGTGCCTAAGTAGTGTTGCATTGTATGGAAAAGGGATACTTCAGCTGCCAGTATCTAGTTTAACAGAGGAATTTAAATGTACCAAGGTCAGGACAGAGCTCTTGTTATCTGGGAGTAAGGACGTGGTAGTTAGGAGTGTGGTTCCAAATCCAACCAAGGGGAGGAAGTGGAACCCAAGATCGGCAGTTCAGGAGGCAGAGGCAGCTCTTAGACATGCAGAGATTGTAGGTAATGTTCAGTTTGGCCGGGGAGGCCTGGGGCTTGGCTCAGGTAAACCGGTATGGAATACAGCAGGCCTCAAAGATAAAAGAAAGCTGGTTGTAGAACAGATACGCAGACAGGAAGAGATAGTAAGGGGTGCAAAGGTAGTGGCCCAGGCTAAACAGGGACAGTGGTTGAATTGGGAAAGTGTAGAGAAGAGGAAGCTTAGTTGGAGGGACCTGTGGAGTATGGAGGAGAATCGTATTAGATTCCTGGTAGGGGCTACATACGATGTGTTACCAACCCCCCAGAACCTAAAACTGTGGGTAAATGAGGACCCATCATGCCCATTGTGTTCACGTACCGCAACTTTAAAGCATATTTTGTCAGGCTGTAAAGTTAGCTTGTCACAAGGCCGATATACATGGCGACATAATCAGGTGTTGAAATGTTTAGCTGCAGGCATCGAAGGGAAACGAAGACAGGTGAATTCAGAAGGTGTTAAGGATAGGGGCTTAGTAATTCAGTTTGTCCGTGAGGGAGAGAAATACAGAAGGGATAAGTTAGTGAGGAGGCAAGGGTGTGGCCGCCTAGAAGGTGCTTGTGATTGGGAAATGCAAGTAGATTTAGGGGGAAAGCTTGTTGTTCCTCAGGAAATAGTCTGTACCAGGCAGAGGCCTGACTTAGTGTTGTGGTCAGTGAGTCAACAGATAGTTTATTTCATTGAGCTGACAGTTCCTTGGGAAGACTCAGTGGAAGAAGCCTATGAAAGAAAAAAGCTTAGATATGCAGACTTAGGAGCAGAAGCTGAGCAGCGAGGATGGAAGACTAGGATTTGTCCAGTGGAAGTGGGGTGTAGGGGATTCATAGCAAGATCAACTGTCTCACTCCTGGGGGAACTCGGAGTGCGGGGACAGAATTTGAGGAAGACAGTGAGGGAAATGTCAGATGAAGCAATTAAATGCAGCCAGTTTATCTATTACAGAAGAAATAATGTCAGCTGGGGGCCAGCAGGGGGAACTACTAAGCAGGGCACATAACTCCTTGAGATCAGGTGGAGAGATCCACTTCCTGTCAGGAGAAATCCAGGAAGAGGAAGTATTTAAGTGTGGGAGTGGCCTATTGGAATCCATTTTGTTTGAGGCCATGCGGCAAGGTGAGTGTGCTTGCTGATCCTGTAAGTCCAGTTAGCTCCTTTAACTTTAGCTTATATTGTAGTTATGCTATGTAGTGTGTGAAATAGAGTATGGTGAATGTGACAGGAAAGCTAGTATCAGCATTGCTTCTGCCTGGAGCTCGCATGTATGGAGCCTGGGTTTGGTTGAAGATGGCAGTGCTGTTTGGGCTGAGAAAGCCATGTGTAAGTAAGAAGGAAATCCAGGAAGAGGAAGGTTATTTAAGTGTGGGAGTGGCCTATTTGAATCCATTTTGTTTGAGACCATGCTGCAAAGTGAGTGTGTTTGCTGATCCTGTGAGTTCATTTATCTCCTTTAACTTTAGCTTACATTGTAGTTATGCTATGTAGCGTGTGAAATAGAGTATGGTGAATGTGCTAGTAAAGGTAGTATCAGCATTGCTTCTGCCTGGAGCTCGCATAAACGGAGCCTGGGCTTGGTTGAAGTTGGCAGTGCTGTTTGGGCTGAGATCACTGTCCAGCCTCCTGGAGGTGTCATTGTTGTGAGGGCTCGTCCTGGGGAGGTAGACTGTACAGCCTAACCCGGCGGGGGAGTGTGATAGCCTAACAAGGCTTCCTTCCCTGGGTCTACCTCCTCTGTGGTAGTATAGGTAAGGTAAAGGAGGTTGTTCGGTTAGTGTGGGGAGCAGTGAGACCTGGCATTAGGGGAGTGTCTCTGGGACGCCAGAGATCACTGTCTAGCCTCCTGGAGGTGTCGTGGGACTAACTAGACGAAACACCGGTGAAAGGAGGTTCCCACCCGATGACCCCAAAGACATGTTAGTTATCACTGCTCACGGGTCTGTATAGTTAAGCCTTGCCATAATAGCTTATCGTAGGGCTTAGGAGGATTATTCACTGAGTGCTGATCCCTTTTTTTTTTTTTTTTATTAGAGCACAAACTTCTTGTGTTTATTTGAATACTGTTACTATTAATCATAATATAATCACATGTTTATCACCATTATATCAATATATGATTACAGTTAGAATTATCTAACAAATAATTGTTGTTATTAATTACAATTATTAATCAAAAAATAATTATCACTTCATTATAACAGTAATGTAAATATAAATATTTGAACATCAAGTTAAACATGAAACTCACCATTCTGAAGCAAACACCTGAAAACAAACAGCTCGTTAGTTATAATAAACATAAAATAATAAGAATTATAATAATAATGTACAGTTTATTTAAATAATAAAATATATTGAAAATGTATATATCGAAGATGTTTTCATACAACACGACAGAAATATTTGAAACAATCGACAGAAACCAACCTTCACGCACGTCTGTTAGTTTATTGTATGACTTCACACATACACACTAACACACATATGACATGTGACATGTGACGTGACCTACCCTGCACGTTCCCAAAAATCTCAAAATCCACTGAAGTCAGTTTGTTTTCAGACATGACAGTGTTAAAGACACAAAATCAAAGCAGAGACAGAAACATGTCGGTCCACCTTAAACTCTGCACTGGTCTATTTTTATCTCTGAGATTTGACACCACCGTCACAAACAGTTTCCTGTTACACCTTTCAAAATAAAAGCATCACGATTAAACTGAAATTATGAATAAAGACTTCATCTGTATGTCAAAGTCAACTGTCAACATACGTCCTGTCCACTAGAATCATGACATGAGACAGAATTCAGGACTGACGGATTTCAAGTGACCTTTACAGATCATGACATCACCATCAGACCGTCACATCACCATCAGACTGTGACATCACCATCAAAATGTGACATCAACATCAGACCATGACATCACCATCAGACTGTAACATCACCATCAGGATGGATGTTAACTTCAGTTTGTTCAGCTCCTCAGCGTGTTTCATCAGTTTATGGTTCATTCTGAAAAAAACTCAGTGATGCTGCCGTTTGTTCAGGAGATAGAATGAAGCATCCCAATTAAACCAGTGATGAAGACATAGTGTCCCAGTTAAACCAGTAATGAAGATGTAGTGTCCCAGTTAATCCAGTGATGAAGACATAGTGTCCCAGTTAGTCCACTGATGAAGACATAGTGTCATAGTTAAACCAGTGCTCTGAGGAGGAAGGACAGAGCAGCTCCTGAAGCCAAACCCAGAGACAGAAAGAAGGCCATGATGGCTCCGGCTGATTCAGATTCATGAGGAAGAACATTCCTAAAAAAAACAAAAAACAAAACAACAACAAAAAAAAGTTATAAAGTGTAACGTGAAGCAATAATTCAGGTTGTCATTTAACAGTTATTATAAAGTGTAACACGTGAAGCAATAAATCATGTTGTCATTTAACAGTTATTATAAAGTGTAACACGTGAAGCAATAAATCACATTGTCATTTAACAGTTATTATAAAGTGTAACACGTGAAGCAATAAATCATATTGTCATTTAACAGTTATTATAAAGTGTAACACGTGAAGCAATAAATCATATTGTCATTTAACAGTTATTATAAAGTGTAACACGTGAAGCAATAAATCATATTGTCATTTAACAGTTATTATAAAGTGTAACACGTGAAGCAATAAATCATATTGTCATTTAACAGTTATTATAAAGTGTAACACGTGAAGCAATAAATCATGTTGTCATTTAACAGTTATTATAAAGTGTAACACGTGAAGCAATAAATCATGTTGTCATTTAACAGTTATTATAAAGTGTAACACGTGAAGCAATAAATCATGTTGTCATTTAACAGTTATTATAAAGTGTAACACGTGAAGCAATAAATCATGTTGTCATTTAACAGTTATTATAAAGTGTAACACGTGAAGCAATAAATCATGTTGTCATTTAAGTTATTATAAAGTGTTACACATGAAGCAATAAATAATGTTGTCATTTAACAGTTTTTATAAAGTGTAACACGTGAAGCAATAATTCATGTTGTCATTTAAGTTATAAAGTGTAACGCGTGAAGCAATAATTCATGTTGTCATTTAATAATGCCTGTTAAGTGTAACATGTGAAGCAGTAATTCATGTTTGTTATTTAAGTTATTATAAAGTGTAACACGTGAAACAATAATTCATGTTGTCATTTAAGTAATTATAAAGTATAACACGTGAAGCAATAATTCATGTTGTCATTTAAGTAATTATAAAGTGTAACATGTGAAGCAATAAATAATGTTGTCATTTAACAGTTATTATAAAGTGTAACACGTGAAGCAATAATTCATGTTGTCATTTAAGTAATTATAAAGTGTAACACGTGAAGCAATAATTCATGCTGTCATTTAAGTTATAAAGTGTAATGTGAAGCAATAATTCATGTTGTCATTTAATAGTTATTATAAAGTGTAACACGTGAAACAATAATTCATGTTGTCACTGAACAGTTTTTATTTTCATGCTTACCAGATGAATTTTTTGTATAAAATGATAAATGTCAAAATCCAAAGTGTCCAAGACATTCATGCTGTCATGTGTGTGTGTGTGTGTGTGTGTGTGTGTGTGTGTATCTTACTCCGGACCAAAACACATGCACAGGCTCGCCAGGTATCCATTACTGAAGGCGAAGAGGATCATGAAGAAGATGAACCAGCCGTCGTGATGGAAGACGACGGGCAGGTTGAGTCGAGGTTGAACATTACACAACATGAAGAGAGGAACAAAGACGAGACGACAAACGATGGACACAGGAAGTAGCAGACTGTCCTTCCTGGGCTGGAAACAGAACAAAAAATTGATGCGTGATTAAAACTTTGAGAAAATTTTTAAACATCAGAGACGTCTGACATAGAGTCTCAACATCATGTAGTCCGGGACGAAGAAGAGACGACACATAATGGACACAGGAAGTTCCAACTAATGATATTAAACTCACCCACATACAGATGGCTGTTAAACTCCGCCCACCCCAGTCACACAGGTTAAAGAGCAGGAAGCAGCTCACGGGGATGAAGTACCGCTCTAATGAAGACAAAGAAACTGCTGTAACTGGTGTTAATTAACAGCAGGAGCTCTTCTTCCTCAGCTGGAGGTGGAGCCACTGCCCAAAAAACCCAAACACTAATCAGTGTGATGTCAGTGTAACATCAGTGTGATGTCACTGTGACCTCAGTGTGACCTCAATGTGATGTCAGTGTGACCTCAGTCTCGTGTCAGTATGACTTCAGTGTGATGTCAGTGTGACGTCAGGGTGACCTCAGTCTGGTGTCAGTATGACCTCAGTGTGATGTCAGTGTGACCTCAGTGTGATATCAGCATGATGTCAGTGTGGGTTAGGGTTAGTCAGTGTGGTGTCAGTATGACCTCAGTGTGATGTCGGTATGATGTCAGTGTGGTTTCACTATGACATCAGTCTGGTGTCAGAGTGACCTCAGTGTGGTGTCAGTGTGACCTCAGTGTGGTGTCAGTATGACCTCCGTGTGATATCAGTGTGACCTCAGTGTAGTGTCAGTGTTACGTTAGTGTGATGTCAGTGTGACCTCAGTATGATATCAGTATGACCTCAGTGTGATGTCAGTATGACGTCAATGTGACGTCAGTGTGATGTCAGTATAACCTCAGTGTGATGTCAAGTCAAATTTATTTATAAAGCACATTTAAAAACAACCTTGGTTGACCAAAGTACTGTACAATAAAGGTAAAATCTAAAAGTAACAAAGTGCAGAGAAAAAAATTACGTAGCAATGTAATGTATAGTCCCACAGTTCCATACACAAGTCCAAAAGTGGAGGAACAAATTGAAGAGTGGAGGGTAAAAAAAAAATGGGGGATAGGAGTTTAAGGGTGCTCAAAAGCTTTAGAATAAAAGTGGGTCTTAAGTCTAGCCTTAAAAGTGTCCACAGATGGAGAATCCTTAATGGAGAGTGTAAGGTAAGGTAAGGTAAACTTTATTGTCCACTAAGGGAAATTCATCTTGGGCACAGTGCTACATTTCATTGCTTCACAGGACGAGATAAAAACATCATCACCGAGACACATCATCACAATGACAGTTCTATCACATAAAACAGACATGGACTTCATTTAACAATCACAACACAGAAATATACAGAGACGTCTAAAGTGCAAGAAAAAGTGCTGAGTGCTAAAGTGCCGTGTGTTTATTGCACGTTGCACGTTGCTCTATTGCACTAGTCTTTAACATTGTTCAACAGCTTAATGGAGGCTGGAACAAATGATAATTTGAGGCGGTTTGTTTTACACTTTGGTATACGAAATCTTCTTCCTGATGGGAGAAGTTCATATTCAGAGGACAGTGGGTGAGTAGAGGCTGAAGAGATTTTTGTTGCTTGTTTCATAACCGACTGGTTATACAGATTATCTATGGACTCATATTGTCTCATACCTATTATCTTCATTGCTGTTTTGTGCATATTGGCCAACCTGTTTTTCAATTGCACTGACAGGTTGCCATACCAGGCTGTGATTCCATATCTGATGAGGCTCTCTAAAATAGCTCTGTAAAAAATCAGCATAATCTGCTTGCTAACCCTCTGCTGCAGTTTGTTGCACAAGTTGTCAATGTGTGCTTTCCAGCAAAGAAGGTTATCAATATGGACTCCTAAGTATCTGTATGCGGCCACTTGATTGATAGTCTGGTCTTTAATGACCACTGGCTCGTGTGTAGTCACTTGCCTCGGGTCAAGAACCATCTCTTGTGTCTTTGTCACGTTTAAAACCAGATGGTTTTTGTCACACCACTTAATGAAGGTGTTGATCTCATCGTGATATGCAAAAGAGTCCATGTCCTTATGCAGAAGACTCACAATTGCTGTGTCGTCTGCAAATTGTCACACATGTATACTGCCAGATATTAATACATACTTTCAACATATTGTACCACAGTAGCCAGAACTATAACTATAATATTATTACTTTCAATAATGTTGTTGTAAGCTACTGTTATTACCTGCATCTCTCTCTCTCTCTCTGTCTCTCTCTCTGTCTCATTGTGTCATGCGGATTACTGTTAATTTATCATGTTGATCTGTTCTGTACGACATCTATTGCACGTCTGTCCGTCCTGGAAGAGGGATCCCTCCTCAGTTGCTCTTCCTGAGGTTTCTACCGTTTTTTTTCCCTGTTAAAGGGTTTTTTTTGGGGAGTTTTTCCTTATCCGCTGCGAGGGTCATAAGGACAGAGGGATGTCGTATGCTGTAAAGCCCTGTGAGGCAAATTGTGATTTGTGATATTGGGCTTTATAAATAAAATTGAAAATTGAAATTGAAAATTTAAAAATAAAATTATTAGGATACACTTTCCTGCAGTCATTGGTGTACAGTGTAAAAAGTATTGGTGAAAGCACACAGCCTTGTGGTACTCCTGTATTACAGTGTTTGATGTCTGACAGTGTCTGATTGACCTTCACTTGCTGTGTGTGATTAGTTAAAAAGGAATAAAACCATTTGATCAAGGTAGTGTCAACATTCGTGTCCTTCAACTTCTCCAGAAGCAGGTGGGGTTGCACGGTATTAAACGCTGAACTAAAATCAATGAATAAAATTCGAACATATGCTTTTGTCTCTTCCAAGTGCTTAGAGATAAAATGCAACATGCATAGGATTGCATCCTCAGTACTGCGTTTGTGTTTATAGGCAAACTGACATGTATCTAACATGGGCTGTACTTGTGGTTTGAGCAGGGATGCGACAAATTTTTCAAAACATTTCACAATTAACGAGGTCAAGGCAACAGGACGAAAGTCATTATTCTCTGTAGCACAGGGCTTTTTGGGAACTGGTGTTATTATTGACCTCTTCCACAGAGCTGGGACGTGTGGGTGTCCAACGACCGCTGGAATATAGGACACCAAGCTGATGTTAGTTCCTCTGCACAGCTTTTGAGCAGAAAAGCCGGCAGTCCGTCTGGGCCTGTGGATTTATTAGTCCGCACAGTGCTAAAGAGACGCTGGACACTAAGTGGGTCCATCTCCAGCCAACCGGTGGTATCGCTATTCTGGTAGAGACTGCATCACTCTGTCACATTCATGAGAAAATTTCTCTTGGTCGAATCTTAAATATAAATCATTCAGCTCATTTGATTTATTCTGTTCATCTAGAGTGGTAATTTGTTTTTTTGTAGGGTTCATGTTAGTTACTGATTTCATTGTATCCCAGAGTTTTTTAGTATTTGAAGTTAAGAGTCTGTGTTGTTCTCTCGCTTTAGTAAGGAGTTGCTTTAATTCTTTTTAAACTTCTATCAAACTTGCTCTGTCTTTATTCCTGAATGCTTGCTTTTTCTTGTTTATGCACTCTTTGATTTCTTTTGTTATATAGGGCTTGTTGTTAGGATAAACTATAATGACCTCCTTCTTAGCTACCACATTATCCATGCAGAATTTCATATAGTCAGTTATGGTATCTGTTGCCTCGTCAAGCTCTAGAGTATGAAATATGGACCAGTCTGTGCTCAGAAAACATCCTTTTAGTGTCTCAATTGAGTCATCTGTCCAGAAGTTAACAGTTTTAGGTACAGGTTTGCATGATTTAAAAATCAATTTATATGAAGGAATAAGATGTATTGCATTATGGTCTGAGTTACAGAGAGGGGGCTTTGACTTTGCAGAGTATGCACCCTTGATATTGCCGTAGCATTTGTCCAGTATCCTGTTATGTCAAGTGTGACAGTTCACATATTGTTCAAAGCCTGATAAGGCAGTTTCTGGTTTACAGTGATTGAAATCGTCTAGGAAGAAGATAGGTGCGCTGTAGCTGTTCATGCGCGCACTCGGCTATGCGCGCAGCTGCTTTACCTGTGCTGCCGCTGGGGGGTATATAAACAGCACCTTTAATGATGTTTCCAAACTCTCTTGGCAGGTAATGGGGTCTCAGTGATATGCAGAGCAATTCTATGTCAGGGGTGCATACTGTGTCTCTGACTGTACATTGTTTACACCACTTGTCACTCATATATATGCACAGGCCTCCTCCGTTCTTCTTGCCGGACGCGTCAGAGCGGTCACTGCGCACCAGCGAAAACTCATCCAGGTCTAGCAGAGCATCCGGGACTCCTTGGTTGCGCCATGTTTCAGTGAATACCATCAGGTTTGATTCCCAGTATTCAAAGCAGCTCTTCTGGTTCGCCCGGAGCTCGTCCATCTTGGGAGTTAGTGACCTTGTGTTGCTCAGGATGATTGATGGCAGCGGTGGTTTGCTGGCTCTCCGGCAGAGACGCTCCCGAATGCCTCCCCGTCTCCCACGCTTCCGCGGCGGCCGCGTACCGGTGTGTGTTGCTCGGATGGCAGCTGGTAAATAATCCGGTGGTGTAGAGTGGAGTGATTGGAGGGACAGTAGTGCATCTCTGGAGTACACCAGTCGTAATCCATGTTCCCACTGCGAAGTTGTCTGACAGGGGCTGAAGACGAGAAGCTCGTTGATGATCAGCGCCAGCAGAAAAAAGTGTAGGCTAGATGCCATTGTTTGAGGCTACCAGCTGTCAGCTGTCAAACATATAAGTTCATTGCGTGATCACGCTTGCCCGCTATCAGCAGACGGCACAGTCACAAGCACTTTTTAAAGCGTATTGCCTCGGACATAAACACATAAACACTTATGTTGACTAGTTTAAAACAAACAAGCAGAAGCAAAAGTAGCACGAGCCCGGGTCGCTGCAGAGCCGCACCACCGGAAGGACTGACTACAATGGTGGAACAAGCTCCCCGTTCCCCGAGTGGTAGACTGTTCCATAGTTTGGGTGCAGCCACAGCGAATGCACGATCCCCTTTACCTTTAAGCCTCGATCGAGGCACAGCCAGAAGCTGCTGGTTTGATGATCTGAGTGCTCTGGAATTTAAAAGGGGACATAAGAGCTCAGAAATATATTGGGGAGCCAGGCCATTAACAGCTTTAAAAACAAACAATAAAACCTTGAATTCAATCCTGTAATTCATTGGTAACCAGTGCAGGGATGCTAGTACAGGTGTTATGCTGTCTCTTTTCTTTGTGCCCGTTATCAGTCTTGCA